ATATTATATTATGTTATATTTTATTTTATATATTATATTATGAGAACAAAAATACAAAGTTAGCGTTCACTCAAGCCTGCAAATACAACCACTCTCTAATGACCTGCCCAATAATTTCTAACATCGATCAACCCAACAGATCAAAATTGGGTCCAGTTTTGTCTTTATTAGCTTGAAGTAAGTCCACATCTATAAAACACAAACCTTAGGCCAAGCATTTTACGATACCATGGTCGCTTCTGAGAGCCGAGGTAGATTCTGCGGACTCGACTTTCRTCTGCAGGTGTCCAGTATCGAGGCAAAAACCGGTCAAAGTCGGAGTTGGAGGAGGTCTGGTGGAGGGRCTGCTGCACTCGCCGGAAATACAAATCATCAAGGATTGGGTCTGCCTCCGTTTGATCGTCCTCTGAATCGTCTTCACACCGACAAAGCTCCTCGCTGATGGCGCTCTCAGGAAGAGTCATGGAGAGACGTGATGGGGAATCTACAGCTCTGTGGTACAGAGTGGCACACCTCGCGTCTGAGCATGAAGACACATTTAAATCTAACCACTTCACAAAGTTGGTCCAAATGTTAGGAGGAGGGGTCAATAGTTATTCATTATGGGGCAAAAAAAGTCAACGTTAGAGATGAGTTTAGGGTTAAATAAGGTGACATGTTGCTGAGCAATGGCAGTCAAGCAAGMTTAAAAGCCTGATCTGGATCACTTCATGCACCATTCTCTGCATCATAATTATTCTAGAAAGAATAAAACATGCAATTTTATCACGGACCAAAAAAAATGTAAGTTTAGCAACTTAGCTGAAGCAAGTTTTGTTGCAATGTGATGTTAAATAAAATGCAGTTACAAGTACTGATACTGGAGCTAAACCCAAATAAATAATGCTTTTTATTGATTTGTAATGTTTTTCTATTAAAACTGAATATGAAATTATACCTTGAACAAAAAACCTGGAGCGATTATATATCATCACAGTAACCAGGCAGCACGTGGTCACACACACATACATCTTCTGTAGACTGGACCACCTTGTGGCTGCCCGATCC